TAACTAGACTGTAAGCTCCTTGAAGGAAGCGGAAGCCTGGCTTTAAATAGACCACCTTCCAAGAATGTCACAGTAGGTGCCCTTTCTCGAAGCCAGTGACTTAAAGATTCCTTAAGAGGTAGTGGGGTACAATATAACTAGCACTGGCACCAGGATCAGAGGTCTTGGATTCAAATCCTGCCTCTGAACCTTACTACTGTGTGGCCTCTTGCAAGTCACTGAACATCCCTGAGCTTCAGTTTCCTCCTCCATACAATGGGGGGGGGGGGGGTTTGGACTAGAAGGTGTTCTGTGTATTCTTCTATAACACCCTGTTTTCTGTGTAGGATGCCTGAGAATCTACTGACTGAATGATGCCCTTATTCACTCAAGTGACTCAGGATAGAACTCAAGCTTCAGTTTCTTCATCTGTTAAGTGGGCATAAAGTGGTATATGTAGAAGTACTCAGTAACCACATTTAATACCATTGATTAAAAAAAGAGGGGCCTCACATACAATTACATGTCCAGAAGTGAAGGTAAAGGAAAAGCAAATGATACTAAAGAGATTTTAAAAGCTAATCAAACATGGTACCCTGCAGAGAACACACCCCGAAGAGCCAAACAAGATGCTCCACAGGTCCTCACAGCTCGGAGATTCTGTGATGAAGCTGTACTGAAAATGTGCTTAACCCAGCTGATAGCAAAGAAGGAATCCAAAAGCATCCACTAAGCACCAAGTGCCAAGTTCTGGGCTCACTGCTGGAGACACCAGTGAAAAAGACAGCCAGGGTCTTCAAGGGGCTGATGTTTTAATCAGGGAAACAAGGATGTTGGGTGAAGGATCCACCCACACAGCAGCAGATCCCACTGAGGAACCAGGGTCCCAGAACTGGAAGGAGAGGAAAGGTGGTCAGAGGGTGGCCAGAAAAGAGCAAGTGAAGTGATGGAAGCCTGGCCAGGAATCTCCTAAAACTGGATCCAGGGAGAGACAGTCACTACTGAGGAGACCGAGGCCTGGGGCAGAAGTTCCTCTAGCGTCTGGTGTGAGTGCAAGTCTACGCAAAGGCAGGAAGACCAGAATGTCTGGAATGTATTGATAAGAAAGGGAGAATCAGCCAGAGTGTAGAATCTATGAATAGGAACGAAAAGGAACTTAACTAGTTATCTTGAAAAGCCCAAGACCCCACAGCTCCTAGGTTTTTGTTGGGGTCTTTGGACTAGCCAAGTAGTTATACGTTATTATGATCTCAGTTGGTGGCGCAGTGGATACAACACTGGCCCTGGAGTCAGGACTTGAGTTCAAATCCAGCCTCCAGACACTTACTCAGTCGCTTAAAATTGACTGCCTCCAGAAAAAAAAAATCTCATTTGCGATTCTGACAAATTCAACCAAAAAGACATTAAATACAGATTAAATGGGAGAAAAAGGTGTTGTACTAATAGACCAGCATTTTTTTCTAGATAATATAAGGAGTCTTCCAAGTGATCAGTGGTTTGGCCTTAAAGTTTACATGGTCTGTATTTTTATTAATGAAGTTAAATAATAATAATTCACTTTTGACATACTTTCATGGTATCTCACCAAAGGGAATTCTATTATATTCTATTAATTCTGATGATGTGGATTTTTTGTTTTCTGTTTAAAAGTGGAAAATTTATGGGGTCTTCTGACTGGATGAAGTATACTGCAAAAAAATTTTAGAACCATCAGTATAGAATTAACTCCAAAGACCTAGTATTTAGTAAATGGATGAAATCTCTATACATAAATCTTCAGGGACAACTGTGCAGTTGTAAATGAATCACAACTGTAATTAAGCACTCGTACTAACAAAAGCTCAAAGTGTAATGTGGAGCAGCTTTTTAAAGACACAGATGAATTAACTATTTTTTGATACCCTCTTGGGAAAGTAATCACCAGAGCAAAGATCCATCCCATCTCCTTGTTACAGTTAGATTTCAATCCCAGGCATCAGTTTTAAGTATAATGCTAACGAACCAATCCCTAGATTCTGCTTTTCTTTTCTTTTTCTTTTTTTTTTTTGCAGTTTAACACACGTTTTATTAACAACATTTTCACTATATGCTACATAAATGTATATTCTGCATAGAAGAAAAACAGGTTTCATGGCCACAACACAAACAACATGGTAGAGGCAAGATGGCAACCACAGGAAAGATTCTTGGGCAAAGAGATCTCACTGCTTTCTAAAACAGCGTCTGCAAAAGCTGTGATGAGGAGAGATTATCCAGGAGAGAAAATTTGCATCACTTGTATGATATCTCAAAAACTAGTATTTTGCCCTTTATTAACTTAGTTGCCTTAAACCTACACCGTACTGAGACAGATAGCTGGGTTTGGGGAAGCCATATTTTTACTACGTACTCCATTTCCCCTGAGTTCTGAGGGAAAATCTGCATGGAAGTCAAAAACATACTTTCCCTTTAACTTACTCAGTTCAACTCTACCCTACCTGACTCCTAATCCTGACACCAACCGAGGAAACAAAACATTAGAACCAACAGAAAGAATAACATGTGGAACAAACACACGGGTGGTCAGCTTTTTTTCCAGGCAGAACTAGTTTCTAAAAAAACAAAAACGCAAATGGAAGGTAAGGGACATAAAAGGTAATAAACCTTCCCAGATATATAAACCAAAAGAGCCTCTGAGTGTGGTGATTCCTTTAGTTAGAATTACTTATGCACAGCACCATACAGGAAGGCAATCAATCAAAAGCAATGACTATCAAGAAGCTGGGATCAACAGTATTAGAGGTATGCAAATGACATTTGAGAAACTATCCAATGCACTGTATTTGTTTCATGTTAAAGAAAAATCACTAGCAACTCAAACATTAACAACCTAGTTGTACTTGGCAGACAGAAAAGCACACTGACTTTGGAATTAGGAAACTGGGGTTCTTATTCCTGTTCAGCTACCAGCCCTTTTCCCTGGGCTTAGGCAATGGACCCCTTCCCCACCTGTCCAACGTGGGGGGCAAGGGCGGGGCTCGAGAGCCAGTCTTGTTTTATTAACCCCCCCCCAACTCTTCTTTGTTAAATGCTTAGTAAGTGCTACATAAACACTGTCATTATGGACATATTTATTTGCTCCTAGAGGGCGGGCACTATCTTTTGCCTTTTTTTGTGTGTAATGACTGAGGTTAACAGAGGTGGCAACCGGCTAGAGAACGCAGTAGAGGCTGAGATCCAGGAGCAGGGCCACATACAAATTCTTCTCTTTGGTCCTTCACAACCTACCTCCAAATTCTCTCCCTCCTCACCTCCACCTTCGGGGGCACGGGGGTTGTGGCCACCCTCCTTCCAGAAGGAGGCCTTGCCTGATTCCCACTCTCCCTCCTAACACACTTCCAGTATCCTCCTCTTGCACGCACACAGTTATTTGTACACGTCTCCCCCATCATCCTTTTCACATACTATGTTCCAGCCAGAATAACCTTGCTATTCCTCACCATGACATTCTACCTCTTGTCTCTATAAAGACCTTTACACATGGCCTAGCATTTATGATTGAATGAGTTACCTACATTTCAGAATCCCCAGCCTCCTCTAAAAAAGCCGAGTTCAAATACTACCTCCCACAAGGCCTTTCCTCAGCCATGTGACCCTGGGTAAGTCACTTAACCTCTTTTAGCCTCGGTTCCCTCATCTGCAAGATGAGACTAATAAATGCACCTACCTCACAGGGTTCTTTGTGAAGATCAAAGGAAATAATCTATGCGAAACGCTTTGCTAATATTTAAAGCATTATATAAGAGCTAGCCATTATTTCTGAGAGGATATCTTATGTGCTTATATGTATAGTTTACATAAGGACATTTGCATTCTCAATATGTACTATACAATTTATACCCATTTTTTGGACATACTACAAAACTCTGACTTTCGAGTTATTACAAGCCTGAAACTATTTTTACTTCTGATGACACTGTTAAGTTATAAATGAGTTATCTGAAATCAAGGCCTTGGTCAAAACACATTCCCCAGGTAGAGCACTGTTCCTATGGGAAAACAAGATTCACCAGATGGTTTCTAGAAATGTGTCAAAAGCAGGTATTGTTTATAGTGGAAAAAGATCCCAAACTAGAAGCCAGGAAACCTGGGTTCTGGTTCCATCCTGTTAAGTCACTTGCTACTTGATCTTAAGTAAGTCACTTAACTTTTTAAGTCTGTTTACTCATTCTTAAAATAGGGATGCCACCCATTCTACTGAGCACAGAAAGAGAAAGATGTCGTTTTTCCAGGTGGGGAATAAAAATAAAAACAAAAACAATGGCTCTTTCAATGAGACTTCTTCCTTCTGATGAACAAAGTAAAGATTCTAACCATCCTTAACTTCTGACCTGGATAACACGCATGTTCACAACTGTAAATCTGCGTTGAATAATGAACATTTGCAGTAAACTAATTTTTGTTGTGCACAATAACTGGTCTCAGAGTGTGTCTTTCTGTAAAACTTACTATTAACCATCAGAGGAGCAACACAAGAGATAAGGCCTATGTTCCAAAGGTTATGTAGCCATAGGAAGGAAGTTCAAGCTTCACTGGCAGAAAACCAATTTTGTTTTAGTTATAGGAACAAATTCTTAAGTCTTATCTTAGTCTTTAAGAACATGAAAATATTTTGAAATAAGCTATTTAGAGGCAGCTCGGTGGCACAGTGGATAGAGCTCCAGCCTTGGAGTCAGGAGGACCTGAGCTCAAATCTGGCCTCAGACACTTGACACTTACTAGCTGGGTGACCCTGGGCAAGTCACTTAACCCCAACTGCCTCACCAAAAAGCAAAAAAAAAAAAAAAAAAAAAAACAAAGAAAGAAAGAAAGAAAGAAATAAGCTATTTAGCTACAAATCTATAAGAAAAATGACTCTTGCTTACATGGTTCTTCTCCCCACCCCCCTGAAATCCTTGAATGAGGTTATCAAAGTATAGGGCAGTAGGGTCTATCTTATCTTTGTTCTAAGTATCTCCAGTAAAGAAAATCAAAATGTTTACCTGATTGGTAGGTATTTTGAGCACATTAACCTTCCACATCTGGGCTTCCCTAGAGATTGCCATCTCCAGAAGGAAAGATAATCTCTCATTTTCCAAGGGGCCTGGAAACTTCATGATACCCTCTGGATCTGCCTGCCACCCAACTTTACACAGCTACCTGTAAAATAAAAAAATAAAATAATGCTATACTTCTAATTGCAGAATATATGCAGCTATATGTATGCCACTTCTGATACCTGAAAGGCAACACATAAAATAACAGATAGGTCAAGAAGAATAGAAGGATAAGAATGCAGAAAGTACAAATTTAATTATATTAACATCAGAAATACCTCTCAAAAATATATCATTTTAAGTTCATTAGCTTGGCATTTAACGACACACCCCTTGCCCCCTCCCCACATATGAAAAGACTCCAAACTATCTTTCCAACCTTATTTCACGTACTCTACATTTTACCAACAAAAAGACTGACAATTCTTCAAAAGATATGAGCACACGCAAGCCAGGGTGGGTCAAAGGCAAAACTTAAAAGCAATCTGATCTCACATTGGAAGACAAGGCCACATCAATGCCCAGACAGCCCACCAGAACCAGCATCCAGGCAGCCACCACCCAAGCCACATCAGGAGAAAGGGCCAAAGACCTGGGAAGCAAAGTACCCCAAGATTTTGCATAAAAGCATAACATTAGCACCATCAACATCTAGGTATGCTGTGCCAGGTCTGAGCAAGGGACAGAGCCAATTCCAAGTCAAAGTTATACAAGAAGGTAACAGAAACTGCCAAGGCAAAAATCTAAGTCAAGCCATCAAGAAACAAAGCCAAAACTCATGAGTTCCTGTACAAGGAGGGGACCTAGTCTTAAGGCACATATAGGACACGCAAGGGCCTCCCCATATGGTTCCAAAGAACAGAGTGTGACCGAAGCCCAAAGCCACAATCCACAATCCACGAACTGGAGCTGGAAATGAGTTAACAAAAGAAGACATGCAAAACGATGAATAAATACTATAACTGAGAGAAGCCCAGAAAAACAGAGTGATTCCAAAACAACTGAATTATATGCCAACAAAACTGACAACTTAGATGAAGAGAATATTTGCAAAAAATATACAGAATAAGAGAACAAGAAATAGATTACTTAAATAACTGAACATCAGACCAAAAAAAGAATAAGTCAGAAAAGAAACACTGGACCAGATGAACTTCCAAGTGAATTTTATCAAGGAAATTAATTCCAATATTACATAAACTACTTACAAAATCAAGGGGGTAAAAGGGATCCTTCAAAACTCTTTCTATACTATAATTATGGTGCTGATACGTAACCAAGGGAGAGAAAATTATAGACCAATGGTCCTAGAGAATATTAATGCAAAAATCCAAGCAAAAAACTACAATAACATTTTAAAAAATTATATACTATGGCCAGACTGGATTTAAACTTAATGCAAATCTGCTCAATTCCCCCTGTATGGTATAGGAATGCAGAAGACTGATTAGCCTGAGACAGAAGCTAGACCTGAAAGAAAGTGGACTGGCATCGAGATGGGACCAGAATGGAACCAGTTCTGGTACCCCCTAATCCCTCCCACACCAAGTCATGTTGGGCAGAATAAGGCTGGTGAAAATTGGTTTACCCAATGTGAAAGGAAGCCAAGACAACTTTGAGGCCCAGCCCTAAGGAATCTGCTACTAAAAAGAAAGGAGTGAGAAAGCGAGCAATAGAGGAACAGAAGGAGGAAAAAGACTGTAACCAACCAAAGAACTCAGGAGGAAGAAAGCTCAGTTAAAAACCTAGAGCTCAAGGTGATAAATCAAAAGAGAAGATTTTAAAACAGAAGGGAAGCTGGTCTCCAGGACATCTAAGCAACTGAAAATATATCTAAATAAATATTTCAAGATAAAGAAAAATTAATCGAGACCTCATGAGAGAGAAAAACCTCGAGATTCCCAGGAACACAACCACAGCAGGACTGTCTCAAATAGCTCAAGAGAAAAATTAGAATCTTGAAAACAGTTATAGCTTGCATAGTAGAAATAACTAGCAGACAAAAAATAATAACAAAATTCATCTGGAAGAACAAAAGGTCAAGATTATCAAGAGAATCAATGGGGGAAAAAAACCATGAAGAAAAGCAGCCTACCACTACAAGATTTCAAACTATACTAGAAAGCAGTAATCATCACAACAATCTGGTACTGGCTAAGCATTAGAGTAATGGATCAATGGAATAGATTAAGTACACAATATGCAGTGGGCAACTCCCATTCAGTGATAAAGGCTATGTAAGAAATGAGGCCAAAAACGGCCTTTCTTACCAAGTCAAAAAAAAAAAAAATCAATCTGGGAGGGGAAGACCTTCAGGGTTTCTGGCCAAAACAGAAACAACTGCTATTTGCCATTGTTTGTCCTCCATTCTCAAAAAGGTCCAGTGTCATCAGGAAGGGGATGTCTTTGACTTGCAAATAAACTGGATTTAAGTGAGGCAGAGCTATGCAAAATCAATGGGCATTGCCTCAAAGAGAAGCTAAGGATGATTTCAAGAGTTGAAGATGAGTAAGGAGTTGATTCTTTTCACAGGGTACTACTTGTGGAGGTGAGAAATGGAATTTCTTATAGAGGGAACACACAGTTCATACTAAGTTCCCTGGAAGGGGAAAAACAGTCATTAAGTCAGGTAAAGTAGGTATAAACCAGATTTCAGAGAGCCTGCTTACAATACCGGGCTGAGTATTTTGTATGTTATCCTAGGGGAAATAGTGAGGCATTGACTGTTTTTGTCTAGGGCTGTAACATGTTTGGAATAGCACCTACTTCATAGAGTTGCTATGAGGAACAAATATACAAAGTGCTTTTTAAACCTTGAAGTATTGTAAAAAGCTAGTTTATTATTATCATGTACTTCTTAAATATTTTTATTTAAAAATATTTTGTTAATCCCTTCTGGGAAAAAGTTACTTTAGTTAAAATGAAAATGTATGCCTAACTTTGATTTCTACAGAGTATAAAATTCTGGATGTACAGCTCAACTTGAGAAAAGTTGGGTCTATACCCAGATGCATAAAATATATAAAAATATAAAATAATTATGGGATGAGGGAGGTAGGGAAAGAAACAATAATTTGGATCTTTTTTTAAAAAGTATTAAAGAAGGTGGGTTTCATAAAAACCTGGAAAGACTTACACGAACTGATGCAAAGGGAAGTGAGCAGAACCAGGAGAACACTGTACACAGTAACAGCAACACTGTATGATGAACAACTATGAAGGACTTAGTTATTCTCATCAATACAATGATCCAAGACAATTCCAAAGGACTCAAGATGAAAAATGCTATTCACTTCCAGAGAAAGAACTAATGGAGTCTGAATGCAGATCAAGTCATATTCTTTTCATTTTCTTCATTTTTTTCCCCCTTTTGGTCTGTTTCTGCTTTCACAACAGGACTAATATGGAAACATGTTTTACATGACTGCACATACATAACCTATTAAACGGCTTATCATCTTAGGGAGGGGAGAGGTGAGGGAGAGGGAGAAAATTCGGAATTCAAATTTTTTTTGAAATGAATGTTAAAATTTGTCTTTACATGTAACCGGAAAAAAAAATTCTTTTTTTTTAAAAAAAAAAGTACTGCACAGAAGCTTCCTTAGTCACCACATTTTACTTTGGAATTGTTACATAATTTAATTCAAATGATTTGATTCCATGTAGCACTGACAATCCTTCTCCCTCAGGACTCAAATGTTCACTCTAAACTATTATCAAATGCCATCAATTTGCCCCTGTAGACCCTGGAGCGCTTGGGGCTATTTTGGATAATCATTAAAATGCGGACATCTTCCTAATATGAAATAACTAATTTGTAGTCAACTCTGAAAGGAAAGAGCAAAAATCAAAAGGAAGCACCATATACAATGGGATATAGTAGAAGCTTTCCCAATTAAAAAAAAAAAGAGTAAAGAAAGGATGCCAAATTCTCCCTATTATTAAAACAGTTTTAAAGATTCTAACAATAGCAATAAGACAAAAAGAAAGAAATTAAAGGTGTACCGATAAACAAAAAGGCGATTTTTCTTAATCCCTATTGTTGATGACATGATAATTTACTTAAAAAATGCTAAAGAATCTGCAAAAATACTATTATGTACTTGGCACAAAGCAAATATGCAAGATGACAAAAGATGGGAACAGGCAATAGGAAGACAGGCACCTGTATATTTGGTAGAGCTTTGAATTAGTACTTCAATTTTGGGGAGTAATTTGGAATTATACAAACAAAGTGCAGGAGAAAAAAGGAATGCAAGGGTGTTGTGAGGGACTGTCTGATGTTGGCAGTTGCCAGTTGGGCGCTGTGGCAAGAGTAGGGTAGAATATGGGTATTTTGGAAGTCAAGGCAGGGGCTGTGGTAGGCAGAGTCGTGGTGAACTGGGATGGGCTGGATACGGAGAAGCCCTGAGGCAGTGGGCAGTGCTATGTGAGATAAGCTGGGTGCAAGGAAGTAGCCCGAGCTTGTGCTCCTGAGGCAAGGGGCGGTGCCACGTGGGAGTGGGACGGCAGAGGACTGAGTTCCTTTTGCCTAGTCCCCTCCCTATATGCAACGTCAACCCCAGACGCCTCCATCTTGTGACCTTCCTGACTTCCTGGGTCCCTTTGTGTAGCACTGACCCCAGACGCCTCCTCCCAGTATCTGAGTCTGACTTCCTAGGTCACGTACTCTGTCTATGCACTAATCCCAGACGCCTCCTTCCTGTATCCGGTCCTAGCCTCCTACGTCACTCCCTCTCCCTTGGTGTGCTAAACTCAGACAGCCCCTTCCGGTATCTGACCCTACAATCATTGGCTAGTAAGCGGGCTGGGGAGGAGGGGCTAGGTAGGTATTTAGGAACGAGCGTGGTCAGATCACGCGCGCTCTCTCTCTTGGCTCCTGCTCTGTTGCTCTGGCCTTGCTGCTTGGGCTTGCTGTGATGGCCTCTGAATAAAGCTCTGGTGTTGGCGCCTCCTGATGGCTCGTCTCTGTGTGTTTATCCGGCTGAGGACCGAAGACTCGAGAGTGAGTATGACTCTGGCAGCCTGCTCCTTATAGGAGGAGAGGGTCGGCGCGGCCGGTACAGGGTGTAGCAGAAATTCTTTCACAAAATTTGAGAGCAG